CCTGGCCCCTGGCAAAGGGTTTAATCTTCTGTGCTTTTTCTTGGTTTTCTCCAAGCATGGATCTCCCACAAGAAGCACTCCATTCTTACTGTGGTAGCCCTCTGGACAACTTGTGATCAATTTTAAACTTGTAAGCGAAGGAAGAATGCGGATCCTGGTAGATTCACTAAGATATTTGGAAGTTTCATCTACACACGCAGCATAAGGCGCCAAGCACAATGGGCCATCCGGGACAATGATTAATTCATCGCCTTTGAGAAGGTGTGCAATTGGGCCAATTACAGTATCGAACAAGACGCGCAGAGAATTGGTTTTACCATCTGCCATGTGGTGACAAGATTCTTCACTGAGCGGTGCTTCACCTTCTCGGTCATCCAGTGAACGATTCTCGCATTTAACCTTCACACCAACACCAATTTCTTTGAAGGCATTTTCCATGAGCAAGGACACATCTTCAATGCTCTTTTTTTCAAAATGGACATCTGTACCCATGAGTAGCCATAGATTGACTGTGTTATCTTTCAGTGCGATAAAAACTGTTGGCGTGGGAATCTCACTCAATATGTCAGTCGTTGTTACTTTAGATCCCTGTGACTCAGGCGCTAGTGATTTAGAGCCATATTGATATTTCATCAGATCCATCAAGGCCTGTGCTCGTCCTTGTTCAGCAACACGTAAAGCTTCCTCGGGCATTTCAAGACGTAGTAGAATACTCCTCAGGGCAGTGTAAGAATGCTGACATGCGTTACGGAAGCTTATTTTCCACGTATCCTCAGACTGAAGAAGACTTCTTATCTCGTTCAAGACTTTTACACTGGATCGATAATAATTGAGGGCTTCATGTAAATCACCCGATAATTCGAAGTCGCGACCTAGAGAATAGCATGCATGCCCTTCTTCCTTTTTCTCTCCCAGTTCCCTTGCAATGCTCAGATGTTGGTTGTGGTAATAAATGGCCTGTTTGAAATCACCTAAACTGTGGTAAGCATTGCCAAGACTGCCATGCGCTTTTCCTTCTTCAGCTCTGTTCTCAAGTTCTTTGCTAATGCTAAGGTATTTCTGGAAATTATCTACGGCTTGTTCAAAATCACCAAGGAGATAATAATCATTGCCAATATTGCCATAAGATCTTGCTTCTGCATCCTTCAACCCTAATTCTTTTGCAATATCAAGTGACTGCTTGTGGCAGTCCGTAGCCTGTTCTAAATCACCCAGACTCTGGTAGGCGTTGCCAAGATTTCCATAAGCAGCTCCTTCTCCATCTCTCTTTCCCAGTTCCTTTGCAATACTAAGATGTTTCATTTGATAATCTATGGTCCGTTTAAAATCACCCAGACTGAAGTAGGCGTTGCCAAGATTTCCATAAGCAACTCCTTCTCCATCTCTCTGTCCCAGTTCCTTTGCAATACTCAGATGTTGCTTGTGGTAATCCATGGCCCGTTTCAAATCACCCAGGCTATCGTAGGCGATACCAAGATTTGCATAAGCATGTCCTTCTCCTTCTTTCAGTCCCAGTTCCTTTGCAACACTAAGAGATTGGTCGTAGTAATCTATGGCCTGTTTAAAATTACCCAGACAACGGTAGGCGTTGCCAAGATTTACATAAGCATGTCCTTCTCCATCTCTCTGTCCCAGTTCCTTTGTAATACTCAGAGTTTGCTTGTGGTAGTCTACGGCCTGTTTGATATCACCGAGACTCTTGTAGGCGTTGCCAAGATTTGCATAAGCAGCTCCTTCTCCATCTCTCTGTCCCAGTTCCTTTGCAATACTCAGAGCTTGTTTGTGGTAATCTATGGCCTGTTTGGAATCACCGAGACTATGGTAGGCGTTTCCAAGATTTGCATAAGCATCTCCTTCTCCATCTCTCTGTCCCAGTTCCTTTGCAATACTCAGAGCTTGTTTGTGGTAATCTATAGCCTGTTTGAAATCACCGAGACTATGGTAATCGTTTCCGAGATTTCCATAAGCACGTCCTTCTCTATCTCTCTGTCCCAGTTCCTTTGCAATACTCAGAGCTTGCTTGTGGTAATCTTTGGCCTGTTTGAAATCACCCAGACCCCGGTAGGCGTTGCCAAGATTTCCATAACCACTTCCTTCTCCATCTCTCCGTCCCAGTTCCTTTGCAATACTCAGATGTTGCTTGTGGTAATCTATGGCCTGTTTAAAATAACCCAGGCTATCGTAGGCGTTGCCAAGATTTCCATAAGCAGCTCCTTCTGCATCTCTCCGCCCCAGTTCCTTTGCAATACTCAGAGTTTGTTTGTGGTAATCTATGGCCTGTTTGAAATCACCCAGACCCCGGTAGGCGTTTCCAAGATTTCCATAAGCATCTCCTTCTCTATCTCTCCGTCCCAGTTCCTTTGCAATACTCAGAGCTTGCTTGTGGTAATCTATGGCCTGTTTGAAATCACCCAGACCCTGGTAGGCGTTTCCAAGATTTAAATAAGCACCTCCTTCTTCATCTCTCTGTTTCAGTTCTTTTGCGATACTCAGATGTTGCTTGTGATAATCTTTGGCCTGTTTGAAATCACCCAGACTCTGGTAGGCGTTTCCAAGATTTACATAAGCACATCCTTCTTCATCTCTCCGTCCCAGTTTTTTTGCAATACTCAGATATTGCTTGTGATAATCTATGGCCTGTTTGAAATCACCAAGATTCTTGTAAGCCATACCAAGAGTGCAATAAGCATCCCTTTCTTCGGCCTTATCGCCTGATTGTTTTGCACTGTTTAGATCTCGCGCGTAGTTTTCTAAAATTCTTTTCATCATTGATTTGTACTAGTATTAATCTGGTCAAGTTGCTTGGTTTCTTCAAGGTACACCTAGAAAACACCAAAAAATACTATGAGAAAATGCGGCAGGTTAATAAAATTAAAGACTGTGATTAGATGTATCTGTGATTATCTTTTCCTTCGCTGATTAAGGAACCGGCTGGGGAACAGATGTTTCCATCAACAGATTCGTTGCGTGCTCCTGTATTTTAACTGTCGGTGAAAAGCAATCAGGAATAACCTCTCCATTTAATCAAGGCAATTTCTTTTCTTGTAACCTGATATTGTGCAGCTCCCTGAGATAAAGGTTCATAAAACGAATCTTTAATTTCTTCCCCGTTCAAGTCGTGATTTGTCGGGATTTGTATTTTGAATTTGGCAATACTCAGCCGGGCAGGGGTTTGTTGCAACATCAAAAAACCTCTAGCACTGAGGGCATTAAGGGTTAAGGTCTTGTTGGGGAAACATTAATTTTAACTACCTTGTGTTGAAGAGTTAAATGGCACAAAATAGCAAAATCAATTTGAAATGTAATTAATGTGCAGGGGCTGGGCATTCTCCCACCCCCAGGACAGCCTTGAGGCATTTGGCTTTCAGTATTTTGCGCTTTATTACCAATCAGAAAAAATATCCAGATTCTGAACTTTTAATTTCAAAGACGACTTATAAAATAAATTGTAAAACAAAAAGGGCCGCCAAGAGGATCACCATAACTATTTTAAGAGAACTACGTGGAAGCATAGAAGTAGAAAACCATGCAACTCTTTCTTCATGGTCAACATGGCTAGCGGCATGTATTGTGGGCGCGTGCGCCCAACGACGAAAAACGACGTCGCCCATCATGGCGGCCATACTCCAGCTAATACCAAGTCTTGGCTTGCAGCGTACATCTTTGATATTGGACATCCATGAGATGGTCAATTGACACCTGTCAAAAAGGTATCCGCTGACCAGTATTACGTGACCATATCGCGGGCTCAAGTTTAGCGCTCCTTGAGGTCAAGTGCTTTTTGAAGTTGATCGCTGAGCAAGTACTGAGTTCTGATTGGATCGGGCTCAACCGAGGCTAACTTGTTGTAATCAGGGCCGGTTAACGCTAACGCAGGATTAAAATATAAAAGTTTCTGGCACATATTTTTTTTTTCACTGCTTATGTTTTGTGTAGTTTGAGGTTATTCAAACTCAAAACAGAACGCCAAACAATCTAAACAGAGAACCTCACCGCAAAGTTACAAAACTCAACACAAATTTCTCGCTTATCCTGGGTTAACTTAATCGGGCTTTGCTCTCTTCTGCTAACGTAGCGTCCTTCTTTGGGCTCGTCAGGCAATCTTCCTCGCCGTGCACAATCTTCCTTCCCCAGGGGAAGGGAGATTGCGTGACGAGCCCAAAGAATGCTACTGCCAACCCGAAGAAGACAACGATTCGGGTAAGAAATGCACCTCGAGTACCCGCGCGTTAATAGAATTTCCATTCAAATTCTTACATAGAAGAGTGCCAACTAATACATTCCACCGGCCTTTTCCCGCGAGACAGTAATTTAGTCGAACTGTCACCCTTCTGGAAAGACTTTTTTTAGAGCACTTACATTACTTACAATACTACAACTACTACAAATACTAAGAATCACTTACAAACACAACTTACTAATTAAGCCGTATAACTCATTACTTACAATATAGTGACATAACTTGCAATACTAGCTTAAACATACTATACAATACTTTTATGTTAAAATACAATCACAAAGGCAATAGAAAGTTGCAAAGAAAGCGATACGGTAAATAGTTAGAATAAAGTTCTTGTTTACACGGGACAAATTGTCCCCCATTTTTTAATAAATTGATCTAAAGTATTGTTCTTAGTGCCATAGGCGTACGAGCTGGGAGGGGGGGGTTCGAGCTGCAGGCCCCCCGGCTACCAAAAATTACAAAATAATGCTGTTGGCGTGATTTCTAAAACTCGTAGCCTGCGAAAAGGCTCCCGGCCAGGAAGGAAAAAAATCTGGCGAGCGCGAAACAGAAAAATTCGGAGAGCAAAGTGATCGGCTCCCTCGCTTCGTTCGGGCTCACCGCGAGCCTGTTCGCAGGCTATAAAACTCGTAAAATAGGTTCCTACTTTTTGTGTCTCTCTGTGTTATTAGACGCCCGACCGGGGGTCTGTAGGCCGTGGAGTGGTTTCTTAAAAGAGTTGGTTCCTAAAATAGGTACCATTTGTATTTGCTGCTGATCTGAAGTATCGTTGCGCAGCGACGACGCCATGGTAATCAGTCGGGACAGCGGCCTTTCCTTTCCTTTCCGACCTTTCCTTTTAGGTTTCAAGGCTTAGCTTCTTTCTCTGACATTTGCCTTGACTTAAACGGAAATGATATGAGTGACCTGGGGTTTTCTGTTACCTACAAGTCGGTTAAACGTGTATCGTGGTAATCCACGATAAGGATATTATTTTCTTTCTTAATTTTCCATCGACGAAACAAGGACAGGAATTAAAGCGGAGACCAAGACTTTTGTTTTTGTGGAAGCTCTGACAAGAGCCGTTTAGAATGTCATAACAATGAGGTGTTTAAATTTTTTCTTGAATTTTTCTTTGGAAGTGTTTCTCTAGTACGTCCACGTTGTTTATCATCTTATTTACGTGGCTTCTGAATTCATGGAAGGCTTGCAGTGTACCCTGCAAGTCTGCTGTGGCCAAAACAAGACTATCTCGAAGGACTTCTAGCAATGCCTCGTNCGGTCATCCAGTGAACGATTCTCGCATTTAACCTTCACACCAACACCAATTTCTTTGAAGGCATTTTCCATGAGCAAGGACACATCTTCAATGCTCTTTTTTTCAAAATGGACATCTGTACCCATGAGTAGCCATAGATTGACTGTGTTATCTTTCAGTGCGATAAAAACTGTTGGCGTGGGAATCTCACTCAATATGTCAGTCGTTGTTACTTTAGATCCCTGTGACTCAGGCGCTAGTGATTTAGAGCCATATTGATATTTCATCAGATCCATCAAGGCCTGTGCTCGTCCTTGTTCAGCAACACGTAAAGCTTCCTCGGGCATTTCAAGACGTAGTAGAATACTCCTCAGGGCAGTGTAAGAATGCTGACATGCGTTACGGAAGCTTATTTTCCACGTATCCTCAGACTGAAGAAGACTTCTTATCTCGTTCAAGACTTTTACACTGGATCGATAATAATTGAGGGCTTCATGTAAATCACCCGATAATTCGAAGTCGCGACCTAGAGAATAGCATGCATGCCCTTCTTCCTTTTTCTCTCCCAGTTCCCTTGCAATGCTCAGATGTTGGTTGTGGTAATAAATGGCCTGTTTGAAATCACCTAAACTGTGGTAAGCATTGCCAAGACTGCCATGCGCTTTTCCTTCTTCAGCTCTGTTCTCAAGTTCTTTGCTAATGCTAAGGTATTTCTGGAAATTATCTACGGCTTGTTCAAAATCACCAAGGAGATAATAATCATTGCCAATATTGCCATAAGATCTTGCTTCTGCATCCTTCAACCCTAATTCTTTTGCAATATCAAGTGACTGCTTGTGGCAGTCCGTAGCCTGTTCTAAATCACCCAGACTCTGGTAGGCGTTGCCAAGATTTCCATAAGCAGCTCCTTCTCCATCTCTCTTTCCCAGTTCCTTTGCAATACTAAGATGTTTCATTTGATAATCTATGGTCCGTTTAAAATCACCCAGACTGAAGTAGGCGTTGCCAAGATTTCCATAAGCAACTCCTTCTCCATCTCTCTGTCCCAGTTCCTTTGCAATACTCAGATGTTGCTTGTGGTAATCCATGGCCCGTTTCAAATCACCCAGGCTATCGTAGGCGATACCAAGATTTGCATAAGCATGTCCTTCTCCTTCTTTCAGTCCCAGTTCCTTTGCAACACTAAGAGATTGGTCGTAGTAATCTATGGCCTGTTTAAAATTACCCAGACAACGGTAGGCGTTGCCAAGATTTACATAAGCATGTCCTTCTCCATCTCTCTGTCCCAGTTCCTTTGTAATACTCAGAGTTTGCTTGTGGTAGTCTACGGCCTGTTTGATATCACCGAGACTCTTGTAGGCGTTGCCAAGATTTGCATAAGCAGCTCCTTCTCCATCTCTCTGTCCCAGTTCCTTTGCAATACTCAGAGCTTGTTTGTGGTAATCTATGGCCTGTTTGGAATCACCGAGACTATGGTAGGCGTTTCCAAGATTTGCATAAGCATCTCCTTCTCCATCTCTCTGTCCCAGTTCCTTTGCAATACTCAGAGCTTGTTTGTGGTAATCTATAGCCTGTTTGAAATCACCGAGACTATGGTAATCGTTTCCGAGATTTCCATAAGCACGTCCTTCTCTATCTCTCTGTCCCAGTTCCTTTGCAATACTCAGAGCTTGCTTGTGGTAATCTTTGGCCTGTTTGAAATCACCCAGACCCTGGTAGGCGTTGCCAAGATTTCCATAACCACTTCCTTCTCCATCTCTCCGTCCCAGTTCCTTTGCAATACTCAGATGTTGCTTGTGGTAATCTATGGCCTGTTTAAAATAACCCAGGCTATCGTAGGCGTTGCCAAGATTTCCATAAGCAGCTCCTTCTGCATCTCTCCGCCCCAGTTCCTTTGCAATACTCAGAGTTTGTTTGTGGTAATCTATGGCCTGTTTGAAATCACCCAGACCCCGGTAGGCGTTTCCAAGATTTCCATAAGCATCTCCTTCTCTATCTCTCCGTCCCAGTTCCTTTGCAATACTCAGAGCTTGCTTGTGGTAATCTATGGCCTGTTTGAAATCACCCAGACCCTGGTAGGCGTTTCCAAGATTTAAATAAGCACCTCCTTCTTCATCTCTCTGTTTCAGTTCTTTTGCGATACTCAGATGTTGCTTGTGATAATCTTTGGCCTGTTTGAAATCACCCAGACTCTGGTAGGCGTTTCCAAGATTTACATAAGCACATCCTTCTTCATCTCTCCGTCCCAGTTTTTTTGCAATACTCAGATATTGCTTGTGATAATCTATGGCCTGTTTGAAATCACCAAGATTCTTGTAAGCCATACCAAGAGTGCAATAAGCATCCCTTTCTTCGGCCTTATCGCCTGATTGTTTTGCACTGTTTAGATCTCGCGCGTAGTTTTCTAAAATTCTTTTCATCATTGATTTGTACTAGTATTAATCTGGTCAAGTTGCTTGGTTTCTTCAAGGTACACCTAGAAAACACCAAAAAATACTATGAGAAAATGCGGCAGGTTAATAAAATTAAAGACTGTGATTAGATGTATCTGTGATTATCTTTTCCTTCGCTGATTAAGGAACCGGCTGGGGAACAGATGTTTCCATCAACAGATTCGTTGCGTGCTCCTGTATTTTAACTGTCGGTGAAAAGCAATCAGGAATAACCTCTCCATTTAATCAAGGCAATTTCTTTTCTTGTAACCTGATATTGTGCAGCTCCCTGAGATAAAGGTTCATAAAACGAATCTTTAATTTCTTCCCCGTTCAAGTCGTGATTTGTCGGGATTTGTATTTTGAATTTGGCAATACTCAGCCGGGCAGGGGTTTGTTGCAACATCAAAAAACCTCTAGCACTGAGGGCATTAAGGGTTAAGGTCTTGTTGGGGAAACATTAATTTTAACTACCTTGTGTTGAAGAGTTAAATGGCACAAAATAGCAAAATCAATTTGAAATGTAATTAATGTGCAGGGGCTGGGCATTCTCCCACCCCCAGGACAGCCTTGAGGCATTTGGCTTTCAGTATTTTGCGCTTTATTACCAATCAGAAAAAATATCCAGATTCTGAACTTTTAATTTCAAAGACGACTTATAAAATAAATTGTAAAACAAAAAGGGCCGCCAAGAGGATCACCATAACTATTTTAAGAGAACTACGTGGAAGCATAGAAGTAGAAAACCATGCAACTCTTTCTTCATGGTCAACATGGCTAGCGGCATGTATTGTGGGCGCGTGCGCCCAACGACGAAAAACGACGTCGCCCATCATGGCGGCCATACTCCAGCTAATACCAAGTCTTGGCTTGCAGCGTACATCTTTGATATTGGACATCCATGAGATGGTCAATTGACACCTGTCAAAAAGGTATCCGCTGACCAGTATTACGTGACCATATCGCGGGCTCAAGTTTAGCGCTCCTTGAGGTCAAGTGCTTTTTGAAGTTGATCGCTGAGCAAGTACTGAGTTCTGATTGGATCGGGCTCAACCGAGGCTAACTTGTTGTAATCAGGGCCGGTTAACGCTAACGCAGGATTAAAATATAAAAGTTTCTGGCACATATTTTTTTTTTCACTGCTTATGTTTTGTGTAGTTTGAGGTTATTCAAACTCAAAACAGAACGCCAAACAATCTAAACAGAGAACCTCACCGCAAAGTTACAAAACTCAACACAAATTTCTCGCTTATCCTGGGTTAACTTAATCGGGCTTTGCTCTCTTCTGCTAACGTAGCGTCCTTCTTTGGGCTCGTCAGGCAATCTTCCTCGCCGTGCACAATCTTCCTTCCCCAGGGGAAGGGAGATTGCGTGACGAGCCCAAAGAATGCTACTGCCAACCCGAAGAAGACAACGATTCGGGTAAGAAATGCACCTCGAGTACCCGCGCGTTAATAGAATTTCCATTCAAATTCTTACATAGAAGAGTGCCAACTAATACATTCCACCGGCCTTTTCCCGCGAGACAGTAATTTAGTCGAACTGTCACCCTTCTGGAAAGACTTTTTTTAGAGCACTTACATTACTTACAATACTACAACTACTACAAATACTAAGAATCACTTACAAACACAACTTACTAATTAAGCCGTATAACTCATTACTTACAATATAGTGACATAACTTGCAATACTAGCTTAAACATACTATACAATACTTTTATGTTAAAATACAATCACAAAGGCAATAGAAAGTTGCAAAGAAAGCGATACGGTAAATAGTTAGAATAAAGTTCTTGTTTACACGGGACAAATTGTCCCCCATTTTTTAATAAATTGATCTAAAGTATTGTTCTTAGTGCCATAGGCGTACGAGCTGGGAGGGGGGGGTTCGAGCTGCAGGCCCCCCGGCTACCAAAAATTACAAAATAATGCTGTTGGCGTGATTTCTAAAACTCGTAGCCTGCGAAAAGGCTCCCGGCCAGGAAGGAAAAAAATCTGGCGAGCGCGAAACAGAAAAATTCGGAGAGCAAAGTGATCGGCTCCCTCGCTTCGTTCGGGCTCACCGCGAGCCTGTTCGCAGGCTATAAAACTCGTAAAATAGGTTCCTACTTTTTGTGTCTCTCTGTGTTATTAGACGCCCGACCGGGGGTCTGTAGGCCGTGGAGTGGTTTCTTAAAAGAGTTGGTTCCTAAAATAGGTACCATTTGTATTTGCTGCTGATCTGAAGTATCGTTGCGCAGCGACGACGCCATGGTAATCAGTCGGGACAGCGGCCTTTCCTTTCCTTTCCGACCTTTCCTTTTAGGTTTCAAGGCTTAGCTTCTTTCTCTGACATTTGCCTTGACTTAAACGGAAATGATATGAGTGACCTGGGGTTTTCTGTTACCTACAAGTCGGTTAAACGTGTATCGTGGTAATCCACGATAAGGATATTATTTTCTTTCTTAATTTTCCATCGACGAAACAAGGACAGGAATTAAAGCGGAGACCAAGACTTTTGTTTTTGTGGAAGCTCTGACAAGAGCCGTTTAGAATGTCATAACAATGAGGTGTTTAAATTTTTTCTTGAATTTTTCTTTGGAAGTGTTTCTCTAGTACGTCCACGTTGTTTATCATCTTATTTACGTGGCTTCTGAATTCATGGAAGGCTTGCAGTGTACCCTGCAAGTCTGCTGTGGCCAAAACAAGACTATCTCGAAGGACTTCTAGCAATGCCTCGTGTTGTTCTTTTAACGTCTCGAATATGGCGAGACGCTCGTCTCCAATGTACATAGGATAGCTTCTGCAACGGTCGTCCAAACGGCCCATGTCTCTGTTACTGATCAGCCGATCACTGAACGAACGCCATATAAAGATGATTTTATTTTTTTCAACAAGTTTTAGATTTTACTAGATTGAGACTGTCGATAGAGGTCATTGAGCAAACAACCTTTCAATATAACTATCTTTGTGAGCGTTTTAGTTTTTCACGCGTTTTGAGTGCGCTTTCAACACTCACGCATTCGGACATCGCGTAATTTTTTCGGGCAAGAAAGTCACCGCCCCCCCAAGTCCGAAAGTTCCCGTACACCTATGCTCGTCGTACATGTGCCTTGTGTCCACTACGAATCCTCTTTGACTTCACAAGGCTCAGCGACATAATGACGACTCCTTCCACTGATTTTCTTTACACAAATCCGTTATTCACGAAACAGAATGCTGTAACTTAGTGAGAATGCCAGAATGTGATCACTCACCAAATCCTTGTTCTTCGGTCGAAGTCTTCGATCGCTCCTCTTACCAAGTTTCGCTCGTCATCCGGCTCTGAAGGACAATGTGAAAACTTTAATCCGGAACTCTTTACAGGCTAAATGCCATACGCAAAAACATCGTACAATATTCGAACACAACGACACAAGAACTCAACGAAAACCTAGCGAACCGCCATAAACACGTTTTCATTTTCCCTCGCGCGCGGGGTCTCGCACCCCCGAAGATACATGTGAAAATCTCTGACAGTCTTTCTTTAAAACAACAATGTTCCTCATCACGTCTTTCTGTTCTACACTGACGGAAACCTTCTCGATATTGATACCATTTAAGGCCTGAAACAAAGATTCCTCGAATCCTGCCCCGACGCCGCCACTGTCAATCCCCCGCATTATATAGAAACATCACGACCACATACATGAGGACAGGAAGTCCTAGAATCTAGGACTCGGAAATCCTCAATCCTATGTCTCCAGAGCCCTTTGATTCTCGTGCCAAGGCCCCGCCGGCTAAGAGAAGCGAAAAGGGCTATGAGAAAGAGAGCCGAAACCTCTACATGAAAGATGACGTTGAGATGTGTCATCATGATGTGACCAAGTTTGATTCTTTAAGAGTGAACAGAGACCAAGTGATGGACCTTGAAACATGGTTCAAAATCCTTTCACTAAAACCATGTAAACTTTGTGCTAAGATTAAATGTTGAAAACACGTCATGTAACTACTATGTAAAAGAAGCTGAGGAGAAAACAAATTTGTTTTTCAAAGTTTATGAGGGTACCACAGAAATCATAAAGAAAATTAATGTTCAGAGTAGAAGTCACTAACACAGGACCAATTCACATGTCTTGCTTGCAGCAAAACAAGAGAAAAATTGATACCACGAATCAGTGCACTAAGCCTATGCAAATTACAACGATTGCAAAGTAACATAACTTAAGGCGTAAAGTTCAAAGTGATGTTCGTATCGCGGATTATATGTTTGGCTACAAGTATGTTGCAATACAGATGGCTAATCTATCGTATCGGTAGCCGGTCCTTTTGGCTACATCGAAGTCGTTTCGCCTACACGATCAGAGTCGATTCGCCTACATTGAAGTCGATTCGCCCACACTAAATACTTATTACTAAATACTAAACACTTATCCAAAAATTGACTAATAGTCTTTCAATAATTATAGTATTGTTTTTCGGAAGAGTATTCCACCGGGGGAGGGGGTACTCTCTTATATGGGCTACTCTCTTATATGGGCTATATAGGTATGTGCGGCCCCAAAGGGTAGAGTTTTTCAGCCGTTTTGGTCATCAATAGGTTATCGATTTTGGCCATTTTGGTTAGAAATATGGTGTGGTTTTTGCACTCTGGTCTTGAGTTGGGTATGTTTCTTAGAACAAGCTACTTTTTCATCATTATCAATAAGACCGTCGACAAAAGCCCTTCGTAACTTATGTTTAGGCCAACTGTGTCAGCCGCAGCTTTCATCAAATTTTTGGTCAGGTCATAAATAGGGTAAGGGTTTTGAGAAGTGGGCCGCACACCCCCACCCAACTTTTCTGGAAGTACCCTCCCGGGGTATTCCACAGCCACGGCGCGGCTATGTTGAACGCTCTGTCTCAACAAAAGAGCTTATGAACTTGAAGATCACCAACAGGGACGCGTCGTGTTCCAAAAGAACATAGAATTAAATTTCACCTTCAACTTGAAATGATATGTGTGTGTGTGCCTACTTAACTAAACTGTATAAAACTCTTCCTTTCTCTAAATGGTATAACTCGTGGACAGGGAGCAGCACAGGCCAACCACCCTATGTGTTCGTGGTTAATAATTGTTTATATGAAACAAACAGAATCTATGAGGGTTATGAATAAAGCTCTGAAAATTGCATATCTAAATCACATCTCAGTCTGAATATCGTAAAAAAGTTAAATGAAACGGAGACCGGTATGTCTTACCGGTCTCCGGCCAAAAGTAATTTCGTAAAAAGACGCTTCAGACGGCCCAGGAAGGCGAAAAACACCACATGAGTCGATTAACGTTTCATTTAACTTTGTTGGGATATTCAGACGAAGATGTAATTTCAGAGCTTTATTCATAACCCTCGTAGATTCTGTTCGTTTTTAACCACACATACGCAGAGTGGTCCGCCTGTGGGAGCAGAGGATCGATATGTTGTTGATTCCGAAGTAACTGTACGTGATCAAACTGTGTGAAATCCCGATTTCTCGAACCTCCCGATAACTCGAACCAAAAGTTGTTTCCCCTCCTCAGTCAAACGCTGTAATTTTACCCCCGATTTCTCGAAATCT